ATGTCGTCCGGCACCATGAAGTTCAACGGCTACCTGAGGGTCCGCATCGGCGAGGCCGTGGGGCTGCAGCCCACCCGCTGGTCCTTGCGCCACTCGCTCTTCAAGAAGGGCCACCAGCTGCTGGACCCCTACCTGACTGTGAGCGTGGACCAGGTGCGCGTGGGCCAGACGAGCACCAAGCAGAAGACCAACAAGCCCACGTACAACGAGGAGTTCTGCGCTAACGTCACCGACGGCGGCCACCTGGAGCTGGCCGTGTTCCACGAGACGCCCCTGGGCTACGACCACTTCGTGGCCAACTGCACTCTGCAGTTCCAGGAGCTGCTGCGCACGGCGGGCACCTCGGACACCTTCGAGGGCTGGGTGAGTAGGGTGTCCCCGCCCCGCGGTGTCCACCGATCCATTCTCCCCTTCCGTTCCTCACAGCTCTCCGGGGTCCGCTTCCCGCTCGCACCGCAGCAGCGCGGGGAATTCCCTCCAGACTTCGGCCCTCTCCCGGGTGGTCGCTGCCCTGGTGACAGGTCAGCGGCGGGAGGGTGTGTGCGGTGCAGGTGTCCCTAGGACGCCGGCCGGCCGGCCTGGGCCCTGCAGGACCGCAGCTCTGGGCTCAAGGACGCGGGTGGGGGGTCACCTCCCTCCACCCAGACTTGGGGTTGGACTCCCTGCTCGGGCCCACTGGTAAGCACTCAGGGGAGGCAGGGAAGGGGTGGTGAGAAACTGACATGATTTGAGCAAAGTGCTTCAAGCGCTCCTCAGGAGAAAGCCACACATTCTCGCGAGTATTATTCACAGTGTTTATGGATACATGTTGGTTCAGCCGGCGGACTGCACACGTGTTTCAGCATGCACATCCATTACATCCCAAAGGCACAGAAGCTGCGCTGGCAGGGATCAGAGTGCCTGGGTTTGCACGTTGGCAAATTTTTATTGTTTAGTAGCTTTCCAAGGAGAGGAGGTTTATCTGTTTGCAACTAACTCCGTTCGGGAAGTCTGAGATGTGTGAATTCTGCGATGCGTGGGCTGAGAAGAGGCGGCGCGGCTCCTTAGGTTTGGGGTCGACCTCTCTCCTTACACCAGCTGCTGTCACTGCTGTGTATTAACGTGTAGCTGCGCGCAACTTCTCACTTGCCTCTGCTTTTCCCATAGTTCCCAGGAGGCAGAGTCGCTGCTGTAAATAAATGAGAATTTCTAGAGCACTCTCCACAGTGCCAAAATGCGCTTGCCTCTTAATCCTCACACTGACGCAGGTGTTATTCCCCACCTGAAATGGTGAAATGATAATTATGACGAAGTGGTCTGCTTAGGCAAATGGAGCCCAGGCTTTGGAGACTCCGAGGAGTTTAACGATTTAAATTGGGCAAGGACTCGGTTTTGAACCCAGAGTGAGAATCAGTACTGGAAATCTAAGGGACACAAATAGAATTAAGATTTACATGTACCAGTTTCCCAGAGTGAGTATAATTATGTACTACAAACATATACTAATAAAAATAAGAATAAAAAAGAGTTAACCTGCTGGGGATTTGCCGGGAATTTAGCTCAGCGGTTCGGTGGCCTGCCTTGCAAGTGCAAGGACCCGAGTTTGATCCCAGATACCAAAAAAAAAAAAAAAAAAAAAAAAAAGGAGTTAACCTATTGGAAATCTGTGAAAAAAAAATTTTTTTTTTTTGGTTTTGTTAGCGGGGATAGAACTCTGGCCCTTGCCCAACAGACGGCGGGCCAAATCCCCAGCCCTGAAATCTGTGAGATTAACAAGTGGTAGAATCAGTAGGTAATGATGAAGGATCCATTTAGATGTTTGTTTTGTACTATGGGGATTGATAATTCTACCATACATACTGTAAAATTACAGATGACTTGTGGAGCTACCCCTTTCTTTTAAATAAGAAACTGGTGATGACTTTTTTAACTTTACTCATCAAATTGTATTGATTGATTTCCCTTCAGCTTATTTTTTTTGGTGGAATTTAGAAGCCAACTAGAAAGAAATGACTAAATACAGTAAGAGTTTCACATTTTATCTTGTGAACGTCTGGATATGAAATAGAAGTGAGCACAGGGCTCAGAACAGGTTGATTGAATTAGTGTCTGATTAGAAGTTGGGTAAGACAAAGTTCTAGGGGAACTTAGGGCCTGAAGTAAGGTGGTCCAGATTGGCCAAGGACCAGGAGAAGCAGGTCTTTCTGGATGGGGTCCACTCCACGCCTGTCCTTCTCACGGGTTTGAACATTTGAATCACCTAGGGCAGTGATGGAGAACCTTTTACTTTCAATGATAACAAACAGCCCACCGCACCTTGCATGCCACAGGCTCCCCACCACTACCTGTGGGCTTTCAGAAATCCTCGTGTTAAGCGACTCTGGCTAGGCTGCTCTGGCTGCTTGCCTAAGCTCCCCAGGTGATCCTAGTGTGTAGTGTTGAGAACTTGTGGCTCAAAGAACAGCAGGAGCTGAAGCCTGGAAGAGCCTAAGTGTAGGAAACATGGGTGACCTGACTGGGAGAGTGTATAGAGCTGCTTGGATAAACAGTTAAATTAAATTTCCGTACCTGTAATTGTCTAAAATATTTCTATTTAGGTGTATTATATAACCCACCAGTGGTGTTTTGGAAGACACAAGTATTTGATAGGATAAACTCAGCTTTTAAATGGTACTGCAACCAACGATTTTTTTCATGTATTTATATTCTATTATTCAATTACAGGGCAGATTTGTTTTTAAGGTTCTGGGTATTTGAAACTCAGAGTTAGGTAGATAGGATGAGTGGAGTATAGTTTCATTTATCATTTTTTGTTAATAAAATACTCATTAAAATTTGAAACATGGATGTTTATTTTTTTAAATTATCATTTATAAATCAAAAGTTGTCTTTGAAGTTTAGGATTATAGGGATACTTATCTTTCTACATTAAGTTGAAATGTATAGTTTATTCAGACATCTACAAGTGAGTAATTGAATTGACTGTACAATTAAATTGTTTTGTAAGTGGAATTACAAATTGTTGACTTTTCAGAAATCTAGAACTTAGTTTTTGCAAGATCACGAGATGCACTACTGCAGGTTTATTATAAAACAGAAGACACTTTTATCATTAGAATTAAAAAATTATTGTTATGCTTTCTTGCTTAAATTACTAAGTATTAAAACGATAAGTATTAACGTTGCTTTTAGTATAAGTTTATTGTTATCCTCTGCTAAGCTTGACAGAGGAGGGTTGGGTTATTTTATGCTGAATATATCAAGTATCAAGCACAGGGCTTCATGTGGAGTAGATAAGTCAAATTTCTATTTGCTGTGCATATATATTTTTAATTCAGCCTACATAAAAGCCAGGGAAGTGGAGAGATACAACTTAAGGAATTTTTGAAATGGAAATTCATAACATTAATGCTTAAATTAAAACAAAGACCTCAAGTCAAAGCCCCAACTTTCCACCTTAAAGTAGAAGACTAAGTCTACTCAAAGTAAGCAGAATGAAAGGCATTCTAAAGTTAGCAGAAATCAATGAAGTAGAAAACAGAAAAATAGCAGAAAAAAGTCAGCGAAACAAAAGGCTAGCTTTTGGGGAAAAGAATAAGATCGGTAGACCTCAAGCCAGAATGATCAAAGAAAACAAATATAAAAACAAAATGATGAAGATAGGACACAAATTACCAGTGTTAGGAATGATAACCATATCACTAGAGGCCCTGCTGACATTAAAAAGATAATAAGTGTATACTCTTAACATTTTCATGACATTAAATTCCACAATTTGAAATGAACAAATTACTTGAAACCTACAACCAACCTCAAAAAATTGGGAGAGCTCTCATGTATTAAAATAATTGAATTTGTAATTAAAAACCTTCCACATTGGAAACTCAAGGTCCCAGATAGCTTTATTAGTGATTTCTATGATACATGTAAGGAATAATTATTAGCAACTTTATATAAACTCTTTCAGAACATAGAAGAGAATGAAGCACCCCAACTCATTTCATAAGCTCGTACCCTTATACCAAAACTGATGAGAATATCACAAACAGGAAAGCTACCGACCAGTGCCCTTTATGAAAATAGATGTAGAAATACTTAAATTTTAGCAAATAAAATCCAACAATACAGCAAATAGTGCAATGCTGCACTATCAAATGGGGTTCATAACTAGGACTGCCAGGTTGATTTATGGTCATCTGAACAGGTACTAACTCAGCAAATCAGAAATTGGAGAGAATTTCTTTAAGGTGATAGACAGTTTTGATGAACCTACAGTTACTACCTTAGTGGTAAGAGAATGGATAATATTTCTCAGACAAGGCAAGAATGTGTGCTCTTTCCTTTTCTTTTTAAACATAATTCCTGGTCAGTACACTAAAGCAGTTCAAGAATAAATGCATACAAATTACAGATAAAGAAGTGAAGCTGCCTTTTATTTGCAGACCAATGAGCGCAGAACATTCTAAGGCATCTACCAAAGGGCTACTAGGACCAAAATATATGTTTAGCTGGGTTGTAGGGTTCAAGCTCATATATAAAAATCAATTTTACTTTTATATACTAGCAGGGTACTGCTGAAAAATGGAATAGAATGCCTTTTATAAGAACATCAGAAATATGAAGTTGAATAAATGAGATAAGACATTTGTAAGACTTTTTCACTGGACATGACAAAGTCTTGCTGAAATAAAGAACTAAGTCAATGGAGCGATATACTGTATTCATGGATGGGAGGATTCAATGTAATTAAGAACTCATTTCTTCCTGTGGTATCACGTAGATTTAATGCAACAAAATTAAAACCTCAGTAATCTTTGTTATATTTTGAGAAACTGATTCTAAAATTTATATAGAAACTTAAAGGATCTATACTGGTCTAAGGATAATTTTGAAAAAGAACAAGTTGGAGGACTTATACTGCCTGATTTCAGAGTTTACTGTAATACCATAATCAAGATAGTAAAGTCTTGAAGAGAATCATATAGACCAGTAAAGTAGAAAAGAATATAGAAATAGATATGAACATTTTTTTTGACAAAGGTACTAAGTGGACAATTCAGTGTTGATCTTTTTACCAAGTGCTACGGCAATAACTGGATGGCCAGAAATATAAATCTTGGCTCTTACTTCATACAAATATTAATTCCAAATGGCTTTTACACATAGATACAAGAATTTGTAAAATTTCTATGTGAAAATCTTAGTGCCCTTGGGTTTAGCAAATTAAAAAAAAAAAAAAAAAAAAAAAAAAAGGCAAATAATGCCCTAATTATTAAAAAAATTGTAAATTTCTCAAAATTAAAGGCTGTTGCTTTTAAAGGGATACATAAGATGAAAACACAAGCCAAAGACCTGGAGAAAATACTTCCTGCATACAAATCGGA